GGTATAACGTAAACAAAAAGTAGTAGTATAAAATTTTGAATGTAAGACACTAAAACCTTGTGTCATGTGCTAGTAAAGGATATCTGGGGTAATAGGGTTAAAAAAACAATATAATGAAAAATGTGCTGTTGCTAGTTGCAGGATAAATAGGGTTTCAGGTTGTATCTACGGAAGTATTGAATACAAGTCTAAAGAGGCTATAATGTCATTGGTTAAGCCACATTTTGAATACTATGTTCAGTTTTGGGCTCCTGACCTTCAAAATTACATTGAATTTTCAGAAAGGGAGCAAATCTGCTTGACTTTTCTCACAGGAACCTGTAGTTCTAACCAAAGCCTCTCCCTTATGGGTTCTCAGCCAATGCCACTGAAATCATGAATATAAGGCAATAGTGGCACTCAAGAGACCTCAATACACAGACAAATAATTATTCCAGGGCAACATGTTACTCATGGTACTTCATCATACAGCCCTGAATGAAGAATAGTTGACAGAGTTCATGGTCTTTACTCATGGGTGCCCACTTTTTCTCCTGCTAGGAAAAGAGTTATGACTAGCAGAGGTCATCACCCAACAGTATGTCCATTCTTTCATGACTGTTTGTCAGTGGTCTAAACCAGAACTGCAGCTGTTATACTCTGGCTTGTGACAGTCTGGGAGTCCCATATAGACCTCCCTAAGTGGCCTTGAACTTAGCAGGTTCCATTACACTTTGATGGACTATAGTCATCTTTGCTAACATTGTGAGAACAGTCCTCATATTTGATAGACTGGTTTAGGTGCTCCACACATCAGCAAATCTTTCTGAGTGTGCAGGTGTAAGATGATGGATGGCACGGACCTTCGCAGCAAGGACAAAAGTACTATCCTTGTGAGAGGACTTATAGACTCAACATCTCTCTAGTGGCAAACTATCTTTCTTGATCACAAGTACTTTTACATCCAGAATAAGCCATTCTTTCTAATAAAAGCATTCCTGTAAATTTGTTTAACTCCAGCAACCAAGCATGGCTAGCATGTATATTAACAAAACAGAAAATTCTGCAATAATCCTGCAGCCATGGCACCAACATTTCTCTCTTCTATCTACTTGTGGTATTCTCAGAAGAACTGATTTCCATGTAATTATTAGTTAGGTCTTCTTAATGAGAACAAGATCAAACTGGAAATTTTAGAGTAATTTGAATTGGAAAAATAAACAGGGAACGTATGTGATACTAAGTGAAACAACCTTTATGACAAAAAAAAAAAAGACATGTATTGTACTTGTTTAGACAAGGGGATGGTTGCCTCTACTGGATCAATGAATAGATCTGCAAATTTCTTCCCTTGAGATGAATATTTAGAAAACTAGTAATTTTAAGAACCGGGTGGAATCCTGTATAAGTAAGGTTCTAAACTGATACAGGAAATCTTGGCTTGTTTGTGTTGCAATGTTATCTCCACATGGCTGATCATTCTGCCACAACATTCATTGATTGTGACATACAGACATCATCTACTTCACCAACAAAAAATAAAAAGCTTGTGCAAACCTGGGTTTCTCACCATGCACACACACAGAACTTTTGAGAGAGTTTGGCAGCAAAAGAGTACATGTTGCAACAATGAACAAGTAAAGCAGGCTTTTATTTGTGATTTGATGTGACTAACAGTTTCATGTCTTTATCATAAAACTGGGATGTTTTGTACATCCTAAGTGTCTTGGGACACTGGGGAAAAAATATAAAACAAAACAAAAACACGACTGTTTCAGCAAAACTTGGATGTCTGGTCACTACTTATGTTCAGGTGAACTGACAAGTGATGATATTGAACAAAATGTTTCTTGTGCAATCATTTGTGAGAGACAAAAGATAGATGTAAAATGCTATTTTCCCACAGCTTTATCTTGAAATTGCAATGGACAAATTAAGAGAAAAAACATCTGTAGTTTGCATGATTTTTACTGGTTTCTAATTCTTCTCCAGCTTTTGCCATTGAAACTATAACTTTTAATAACAAATGATTCCTGAAATAAATTATTAGAAGAGCCATTTAAAAATGTTTTTAAGACTTAATTTTTGTAACAACATCCAAGAAGAATTTTTTAGTACCCTGCAGTGAGAAGTTTAAATTCATCTTTCCTACTTAACATTCTTGTATTTACTGCAGGAAGGGTTTGTCATGGTCTAGGGGTTAGCATACCCTGATTGCAAATTTGAAGGCTCATAGTTCATGTAATGTTGCAGCAAAAATGTGCTTTACACTGTTCAGTCTGACAATTAAATAAGGGTATCCCAAGAATTTTCGTTTGGTGCTGTTGACTAGCCACCTTCGTTTTGGTATACAAACTCAAAATTAGAGACAGCTGTGCACAGATAGTTTTTATAACTTTACATAAATATTTCAAGCAAACAATGAAAACTTCATCACAGTAAATCAGCATATGAATATTTTAAGGCTCAAGTAAGAATTTGTCAATAGCCAAATAAATTCAATTAGATACAAATTGAAGTTAGCAATAAAGTTTATTTGGAGACTTGATGATCAGATATTTTTCTCATGTTTCAAGCATTAGCCTCATGCTATTGACTAATATTTATTAATGACCATAAAGGGCAACTTCACTAAAATATTCCATTTACAGTAGATTTTAGAATATATATGGAATTTAGTATATTGCTGTTATATGAAATATTACAGCACTTTGTTTCTTGTCGTCTTCTTTTTTAACTATACCTCCTTGATACTGTTTTGTCTTAATTCTGATTATTAACATGTAGATAAATTACACATTTGAAAACATTTTCCATTTAAAGGTATAATTCTTTTTCATAGCGGATAACATACTTCTATGTTAATTCAAGACACATTTGAAATATTAATTGCTATGCAATGCACTAAATTTTGTGAATGGGGACCAAAACAAACTTAAAGTTCCATTATTTAAATATTCATTCTTTATAATTGTCCATCATGTTAAGATACTGCTTTCAAGTGTCTATATGTATGCTACTTTTATAAATGAACATGTTCATCAAGTTGACATATTTAATATCATTTCTAAATGTGTTTGTTGGTAAACTTCAGTTATTATTATTTTTAAACTATGCATGTATAAACTCTTGGTTATGCGAGGGGACTACTATGCTGCTTTGTGCTTAAAACAGATTTATGTCAATGTAAAACAAGATATCAAATAGGCATAATAACTTTCATATTTAACCACATTTACAACTGAAAGCATGAAAGCACTTATAAATACCATGCTTTATAATGGATAACAAGCTCCTGCAGGAACTTTAATGCTAAAATCTGTGTAGACACAGCACAGTTAGTCTAATGTGTAGCTCTACTAATAAAAAGAAAAAAAACAACTTAAATCAAGCTCACATGCATTGAACTAATCACACACATAGCATGATGTTTTATACATATTTTATGTAGTTAGTATTTCTGTGCATGAAATGGGACTTGAATTTCCAGGTAACAAAGTTACATAGCAAAGTGAAAATACAAATGAAGCATTTTAATAGTTACTTATGCTACAGGTCTTTAACAGCAAGAATTCATATGTATGATTGTGGTTGACTTGAAATTTTAGAAATAATAACTATTTACAGATTTTAAAAAGAACCAATGCTTTGTTTTTGAACAGTGTCCTTTATATGTATGTGTGTGTGTGTGTGTGTGTGTGTGTGTGTGTGTGTGTGTGTATATATGGCCTTCCCATTTAATTTTCCAATTAAACATGATATTCACATTTTGTTGGATGGAATGACTCTTGCAAGAAATAAAAGAGAACTTAGAAATGTAAAAAATATATTTGTAAAATTTATTTAGTAGTCATTATTAGTAAAAATAGTATTTTAAAATCAGTTTATTGAAGTATAGCACATTTTAAAATGGATGTTTTGAACATGCATATATACTATTAAATAGAAAATCTCCTCCACCTGATGTAGTTAGTGAAAAGCATTTGTAGTGTTTCCAGTATGTCAGTATTTAAAAAAAATAACAAACTAATAACAGGTATAGAATGAAACTCCCCAATATTCCGAGCAGTAAATTTTAATTGTAGTAACAGAAAGTTGAAGTTCTAACTTGGAATCGGCTAAGTAATAAAAGAAGTTTGAGTTGCTGTTTTAGGTAGAAGTACTTTTTTCATTGAATAATTCTAGGAGTACCGAAATCGACCAACTTCGGATATTCTTGAAGCACTAAGTCATGCAGACACCCTTCATGGTCAGAGTCAGCTTTTGGGGATCCTGTGGTACAGAGAAGGGCCTCATTTCTGGATGGATGGAAGTAATTTCTTTTATATCTTTACTCTAAATGATGAAAATAAATTTTTTATAGTAGTTAATGATTATAAAGCTACTGATTTTCGTAGGAATACAATAATCTTTTTATTAATTTGATATTGTTTAATTTTCACATCATCAGATAATTCTGTATTTTATGAATTTATTGGTAAATATTGTTCCCTGTAAGGTTAAATATTGTATAAGTACACTTAAAGAATTTGAAAAAATCATTTGCTCCTTTCTTCAGATAAAAACCTTTTGCATGAACTTATTTTCAGCATTTAAAAACTCATCAGCAGTTTCAGTTTCTACTTCTAGGCAGAAACTCATCACTAGCTTAATATGAATGTTATGTCTGTAGATAAACAAGATTTATAATTTCTTAAATTAGTTTTTATACTTAATATTTTGTCATAGGCATGAAGCCAATGACTTTAGGCCTTAACCATGAAGCCATAATACCCTAATGAGTTCTATTTTACAGTTCTAGCCTCTAATGGTTCCCATTATGCAACACTAGTCTCTTGTGGTCTCTTTCATGCAGTTCTGATCTACTGCATGGCCAGGTGGTTAGGGTGCTTGAATCACAATCTGAGGGTCACGGGTTCGAGTCCCCGTCACACCAAACATGCTCATCCTTTCAGGCGTGGGGGCATTATAATGTGACGGTGAATCCCACTATTCATTAGTAAAAGAGTTGGCGGTGGGTGGTGATGACTAGCTGCTTTCCCTCTAGACTTACACTGCTAAATTAGAGATGGCTAGTGCAGATAGCCCTCATGTAGCTTTGTGCTAACTTCAAAACAAACCAAAACCTGATCTACAGTGGTGTTTATTTTTACTCTGGTGTTTGATATGATGTTATCCTACACCATTGATCTATATTTTGCAGAATCAGTACAGGTGTATTGTCATTATTTATTGTGCATATCAACTTTTGGTATTGTTGTAACACTTCCATTAAGTCAATAATTATAACAAAAACTTAGTTAGATTTTGAGAGAATATGTGTGTTTCTGGTCCTGGAGAATATATAATTCCATTCTCGAAAATCCTTAGTGCTGGAATTTTTTTGGGATCAAATGTATGAAACTTGACTTCAGTCCTGGGAAATAATAACAATAATGATAATAATAACTAGCCACGTCCCACAAACTCATGTAAAGGTAACTTTATTTAATAAAATGGCATGTAAAGTAAACAAAATAGTAAAGCAGTGGTACTTATCATAGTTTATAGAGTATGAAACAGTTATGAGCTTTCAGTGTAGGACATGGTTTTACATTGAAACAAAGAAACTTACAAAAAATTGAAGAATAAAACCTGCAGTAAAGAAAAAAGTAGCTAAAAGGTGTTTAGAGCAGTCAATGAAAC